CTCCCATGAAAACTGGCTTAGCCCACTCCCCTCCGCAGTTTTCCACACAGCCTACCAGACATGCAAAGGCATGTATAAGCACACTCCTGCAGCAATTGCCACATTACTGTCCACTAGAAGAATTAGTCACCTAATAATAGCATCTTCCTTGGCAACAGGAAGGTTATTTTACCCAGAACTCAAAGTTCACCCATCCCACAGCAAATCCTTTTTCATGTGTATCTTACTGAGAGCAACATCCTCTCTATGTGTAAATACAAACACACATGTATGACTATTAAGTATTTTTTAATTATGCAAAGAAACCCCACGAGACTGACTGGTTGCCCAGACACCATGGCACAGGAACAGAAAGCTAGTGTGGATGGCTCAGACACAGCAGGCTGCAACTCAATGGAGACGCCTTTCAAGTTACCCCAGACATGTGCAGTCTATCATCCCCAGGGTGTTTTGCTGCAGTACAAATGCCCTTCTGGAACAGCTCACGGAAAAAAGCCCCAAACCCTTGAGCCTTTTTTGCAGTATGAGCAAAAAATTTACAGGCAGAGCGTGCTAAAACCCAGAAATACTGGTTTTGTTATAACTGCAGGTCTAGGCTACCAGTTTTTTAATGGTTGCAGATTATGTGGATTCCTGCATAATCTGAAAGGTACTCAGCCACTTGAGACCCAACAAACTGAGGTGTGTGTACAGCACCACCACCTGTGGAAAAGTTTTACTCACTGTACTTCCAATGATGTGAAAAAGACCTTCACTGAATGATTTTTAGTTTGCCTTCACTTCTTTAAGAAGGCACATAAACACTGAAGTCTGGTAGCCACAACACCTTGTATCAAGTACTTCAATTAAAACTAGTCCAGGAATGACTAATTTCAAGGAAACGTTTTTTTAATGTCTGGAGAACGGTGATTCATCAGATCCAATGGTTTGCAAGCTTCTATTTCAACAAGATATTTATCAGAAATGTTCCTCAGGTCAAAGACAGCGAGTTGAAAAACAGAATCATCTTTCACCACATGTACATGAAAGACACAAATGCATAACCATCTCTAGTCTGTTAAGTAGAGCACTTACTCAGCATATAAAACATGCACGTTCCAGTCCTTGCTCTACCTGACTTAGAAGGAACGTGAATGCAGGTGAGTACTGTTAATTGTTTTCTTGTTCTAAATAGTACCTGCTTTATATAAAATAAAATAAAAAAACCAAAACAAACTGACAAGAGGAAGAGCAGTACCTGCTTTGGATGCGGGAAACAAATGCAAACCCCTGCTCTGACAGACCAATTTTTGTTGACCAGACAAATTAAGAAACTGCTGGTTTAGCCTTCACTCATGAAATCCCATCATCTCATAAATACTCCATCATTATCAGATGCCTTTCTCTACTTCTTCCTTTCATTCCCCTCCCCATTAAAATGGGAAACTCTGACAAGGCTGAGAAAACGGACTGTTCTGAGCTATTTGTGTCTATCCATTGTCACTTGTGAAAATACATTTTGTACTGATACGAGGACACACAAGTCTATGGAGTGAATAAATAAGTGCCTGACCCAGTAAGTCAAAGAGATCATCCAAGAGGCTTCAGGGCAATATTCACTCTCCTCTTGCATCACCAAACTAGGAATAAAAGAAGCAGATAAAGCTTTACAATTGAAAATATACTGATTTTTCCATTGTGACCAGTTGCGTTTTAGGCTCAGCTGCATCTCCCCTTCTCCGAGCCAAAATGAGTTATTCATTAATTCTGGTACGCTTTAGTCACTGCCTAAAATGTGAAGTAGTTCGTAGAACAAAGACAGGAGTTAAGGGTCAAATGGGTGGGAGCAAGTGCTGGTACTTGCTTCTAGGGTTTGTTTGGTTGGTTGGTTTTTTGAGTGTTTTTTAAGATTAAAAGTGAACTTTCCTTTTTCCAGGTCCAGGGAAAAGAGGTCTAACAAAAAAAATATTGAAAACCTGCTGTACTACATGACTTAAATACAGTGTTCTCAAACTAAGTGCACAAACTGACTCTTACTTAGTTAATTAGTCCTTGCTGTTCCTGAGACAGTGTGGTTCTCTCTCCTTTCCCCAAGTACTCCTTGGTCATGATTTTTGTGAGAAAGGTCACTACCTTGCCCTTCTTAGTGACTGTCAACTAAGTATGAACCACCAAAGTCACCTAGATAAATATAAATCAGAACATCTTCATACAGAATTTCAGAGCCAAACACTTTCATGACAAAATTTGAAAAGTGGCTTAGCCAAGCTCAGATAAAATCAGCACCAGAGTTAGAAATGAAACTCCAGACTTCCTAGTTCTGGTGCCTCAATTCAAATTACAAAACTTACCTTTCGTCACCAAAACAGGAGTGCAAGAATTTGCATATAGGCTGGTTTTGGAGCTATACTGGGTAGTAACTGCAGTAGAGTATTAACACTGCACAACACCTGAAGAAAGGAAAGAGACTGCTAGGGATGAATTAATTTGCTTTGGGGTTTTAAAAAGGATCCTTGATCTTTGTAGTATAAATCTAGTAGGCTCAGATTTCTCCCTGAAATTTACTCCAGACTCCTCCTCTATGAATAAGTTGTCCTACAATGATACTGTAAAGCTTTTATAGCAACAGCAGCATTAACATCTCAGCAACACCAACATCTTCTACCAGAACATGGACATAACAAACACAGGCTAATCCCATATTAAACAAAGCAAGTTCCACTTCCGCCAACATAGCCAAGGTCTTTCTCCTCAATGACAAGTGCCTTACCCATCTCTGAATTCACCTCCTCCGAGGCTGAGAATAATGGCTCTGCTAAACTCAGTACTTTAAAATATTCAGATATCTATTAAAGAATGAAAACATTCACTACCATTTACTGAAGAGCATACCTCAAAAATGTTAGTCTGGCTCAGTTTCCTTCTATGGTTATCTTGCATGCCACACAGTCACTCTGCTCTAGCCCGGTACGTACAGCACTGTTAGAGTTACTGAGGCTGAGGGGAAAGAAAAGTCTGGTTTCTGCTTGCCAGGATTTCAGCTCCTCTCACAGAAAAGCTCACTAAGGAAAAAGTCCTTCTCAAGGATGATCTCTGTGTATACTGTGTTATTTGTTTTTCATTAGTTGTGACAAGACCTTGCACTTTAAGCAAATCCAAAGCTTATTTTTTATTTTGCTTACCTAAGTTTTCAGGCAACAACATTTCTTACAGAACACAGATTTAAAGATACTCCAAGAATTAAAGTGTTAGCAGTAAAAAGATTTCTATAGTTTACATTATAATGCTCATTTGCCAAACAATTGGAATGAAACATTTACTGCTCTATTTACTCATTAAAAACATTGACTGGTGTCCTCTACAACTGCTGGCTTAACCTGAACTGTTATAGAATAAACTACAGACAGATGAAGAGCCATATTCTGTATACAATTATGCTTACAGTAAAAAAAAAGATTTTAGACCCCTCTTCCAAAAAAATGCAATCAATAAATGACCGTTAAGTGACCAGTCTGCAATGAGAACTGCAAAGTGTGTAGTCAGAGTAATAATAGATCAAGAACTGGGCTTATGATTCAGCTGTGGGATTCAGATGACAAACACGTGTAGTGGAGACCGTGAGAAAAAACCCCAGCCTCCATTTTTGTTTTGGAGAAGCAATTCAACTGCTTTTGTCCCTCCCACCTTAGTTATAGCAGCTGTAAACTCAATTTAAACAGCTAGCAAAATGGGGTTATACCTGCTTTGCACAAGCACAAAGACAGACTGTGGATATAAGAGAGAGAGAATTCTGCTGAAGTACTAAACTGCTCTGTGAGCATTGGTGAGACTTTCATTTTTCCCTTGCAGGGTATGCCTTTTTCCCTGCTGCCATTGAAAAGCCATGACTGAGGGATTTTAGGCATCTGGTGACAAATACCTGTTTTTCTTGTTTAAATACACTCCCTTTGGACAGAAACTAGAAGTTGTCAACTTCTAATGACAGTTTGGAAATGGTTTAAAAAGCTGCATTTTTATTGATACTGGCTGCCATTCTCAGTGTTGAATTTCACTAGTCTGTTCCTGAAACTAGACGCAGTTTCTTGGCAAACAGCACCTTAACCCACAGATCTGATTTTATTTCATGAAGGGAGATGGTGACGCAATTAGCTCTTCCTCCCCTCAATGAAAACACCATTTTGGCAGTGTAAAATTATCCAAGCTAGGAAGACTCTTGTGGCTTCATCATTCTGCTATAGTCTGACAGCAAACACAAATACATGTAGACAGTAAAACAGAAGCTATGCAGCCCCTGGAAAAACATCTGCATCGATGCAGAGATCCATCCAAGATAAGCTTACACACCGCTTCAACCCCCTTGTATAGACCTTAGTTTTGAGGCATGGAATTAAGTGAGTGAGCTTGTTCTGGTTTTCATAGTGAGTATTTCTGTCTTTATAAACTCCCTCAATGTAATATTTTTGCATTTTATTGGACTGTAATGAAAGCATACAAAGCCAAAATCAGGTAATAATTAGTGAGTTAATATGAAACACAGGAAATACCAACTGATGTGCATAATTATGACTGTCTACAAATAAACCTGGACCCTATTTGGAGAGTTTGAATTCCTAGTGGCTGTAATATTCCAAGCCCTGCACAAGCTCACTGTAGAGACAATCCAGATCAGGAGTCATGGTGGTTATCCAAGAAAGGGCCAAGAAGGTGTCCCCATAGAAGCACTGTTAGGTGCTGATATTCAGTCCCAAGGACACATTCAACCAAAGAGAAGACTCCTGACTTTCATTAATTACTTCTTTGTACTATATTCACTCAACAAAACTGCATGGATTAATTTTTTACAATATCAGAATTAACCAAGTTAAATGCCCTTAGTAGACTCTTTGCTTTTATTTCTAGTAGATCACTGGTCTCCAACACAGCTACTCCACACTTCAACAGCTTAAAACGGTGTAAAGTATAGCTTTTCGCTTTAAAACTTCCTGTGATATAAAAGCACATGTTTGTCTAGCAGGTCTTACCTCCAAAAGTCCATCTTCAGGCAGGTCTGTGCAGTGGACAGCATTCTGAATCTTGTTCTTCCCAAAGACAGCACGCAGAGTGCCAGGTCGGAGATGACGGGCTATTTCCTATTGAACACAGGAAAACCAAAAGACCTTTGTGAACCACACTGTTCCTTTATACCCTGGATGCAATAGAGTCTGATAAAGTAAAACATTATTGTGCTATTAATATTTGTGTGGTACACTATAAAAGAAAACGAAGAGGGAAACTCCAGCTTGCAGTACACACATACACAACTACTGGAAAAACCATGACCACGGTTGTGAAAACTAACTGCTTGAAATTGGGCCAATCAAACCATGTTAGGTGAAATGCAGGACCCTTCATATTACAGATACACCTTCCTTAATTGTATTAATACAATTAGCTCATGTTAACACTTTTGCAGCTCTCAAGCACAGAATGTGCTTTCCTCAGTGAGCAGACACAAGCACACCACCTTGCAGACTGCCTCCCCTAACACTAAACTATTTGCTTTGTAACCTGACATTTCTGAAACCCAGCTACTGAACAACCTCTTGGTCTTCTCTGTGGTGCTTCTCTGACACCGTGACTAGTGCCAACATCTGATCCCCTCTGAGCATCAGTCCAGAGTCTCTCTACATCTTTCTCTGGTCTTTGAAGCTGACATTTCAATACTCCTCATCTACAATGCCAAATACCTGCTTGGCCTCTCGGAGTGTTTCTCTTACTACAGCAGATACCAATCAGGTCCTGAGATAACATTCCTCCCCTACTTCTTAACTACAGCATATCTCCCATCTTATACTACAGAGTACTGCCTTCATTGGCTCTCCTCTCCACCATGCCCTTTCTTCCAAGGCATAATGCAGCCCTTCTGCACTCATACCTTGTTGGCCCCTCCTCTCCCTAACACCCTGCAGCTCTTCTTCAAGCCTAGCTTATGCACAGTGTGCCTCCTTTTAAAATTCAGTGGTGATGGCAGTAACCCAGTTTTCCCTTCTTAAAACCCACTGGTGCCTGTGAGGGGACAAGCCAATGACAAGCTCACGCTGCAGCTACTGAACAAAAACAAAGCATTCTTCCTTGCCAACAGAGCCTACATCAGCCCCTTTCTGAAAAGGGCACTGGGTACATTGGGGTGTAATCACTTTGGAAGTGGCCAGTGCAGTTTCACTGTGCCACTCCCAGGTGTTTGTTTCTGTGTGACAGCTGGAGGTTAGTGCCCCACAGCCGAGTCACGGGACTGGATTGTCCAAGCATTTCTTAACTTGCAGTGTCAAATGGGTTCAAAGTGACTTCAGTAGTAGCTCTTGGCTGACCTGGAAAACTTTGTACAGGTACACATGAGAACCACTCGCATGATGCACACTCTCTTCTGGGATGGTAGTGTATGTTTTAAGCTAGTCCCAAAAAGACCTGATTAAGAGCATTATCTGACAACACCCTTTAGCCACTTTCCAGCTTCAGCCACTTGTCGTGTCTCATTACTAAACTAAGACAACTGGATTTTAAGGGCAAGATCTTCTCTTAGCCCAGCAAGTCCCAGATATTTTCCTGTAATAACAATTAACAATTATGGTAATCCCTTACCTAGTAACCAAGATCTGTTACCTACAGTGATCTGTCACCCACCTGGAAGACAATTCATCTGTTTTAATGCTTGGAGTGTGCCTAACCCAAAACACACTACAAAGAGAAGTTTCAGTTCCCCATTGTTACCATGTGTATGTCACAGGTTATACAGGATCTTTGGATATGGATGTCAAGGGTATTTGAATAAGATGTAATCAACATCAAACAAATTTTGCTTCAGAGGAGAGTTCAAGAGTTTCATATTAAAAAAAAAAATCCGCAAGGAGAACAAAAAAACCCTCCTCCACATGGTCCTCATGGAAGGCTTGTGATAAGAAAGTCTGCTGGAGAAACAAGTCACATGCCAGTTAACTATAGCTATGTGACACTTTAATCAAGCCTTCCTTGAAACAACTGTTGATTCCAGTAACAACTAGTTGTCAGGAAGGCAGCAATAGCACTAGGCTTTCAATCATTTTAAGGAAAGTTTAGGCATATTAGAAAAAATTATTGTGGCTACGAAAACTTTGGCAACACTTCAGCAAGAAACAACTCAGATCTAAAAAGCTAAACCTTGGTATTTTATATTCTGTTTATTTCCTATCCATCAAATTATTTTGCTTAAACTGTTCCATCCTCCAGCAGATCCAAAAATGCTGCTTCTTATGAAACTTTCCCAAGTCTTCCCCTTAACTCGTCTTCCTCACCAAACCAAATTATTTGTTTTTCTTTTCTTCCTTGCCTTAAAAGCAGCTATGGCCTCCTGACTTACCATTGCCCTAAGCTTTCATTTCTACTTCACAACTTCATAACAGAAGAGCTCATGTTCCTTCTCTTGGACTCACTCTTTCTCACTAACATTAGCAAAGCTCCCACTGTTGCAGTATGCAATCTCCTGTTCTTCCTTCAATTTTTCAGTGCAGGTTACTATGCGTTCTCCTGCAACTCATCAGTCATCTTGCACAAGAGGGGACTCACTCTGTTCTATCTGGGATTGCAGTAGATCAAAAGTACACAAAGGTAGGTCCTCCAGCACTTTATATTGTTTGAACCTGATAATAAGAATTAATAATATTCGAAGTAAGATTAATACTGATTAATAAGAATCTAAGTAAGCCTTTCTTGCCATCAGTTAACAAACAGGACAAGAGGTAAAGCAGTTTCTGCTTATATTTACATAGCCAAAACAGGACAATAATTGTCAATTCCAAAGTTTTACTATTCCATCGCTTTCTTACTACACCACTGAGGAACCCTCGGGGAACAAGGCCTCTGTAAATTATGGAGATACAAAGAGCTGTATGGATCATATATAAGTGTCCTTGTGTATGTATGGCTGGAAATCATCAGTGTTTCAGGGAAGAAGGAAGTGAGTTCCTTCCGGAACTTATTCCTCATAGCACATTTTAATATACACTCTTCTGGTCCATGACAGGAGCTTGCCAAGCATTTTATTTATAGGGCCTCTTCTGCAACAACAGGAAGATACAAATATAATACTGAGGCTTGGATTGGTTCTGCCACACCCCTCGATCCCCTTTTAAACTTCTTTTTCCTAAGCTTTCTGCTGAGTCTAGTTTCTGGAGTATGTGTTTTGTGCAGTTGTTTTCAAAAACTTGTTGAAAGGAGTTGAGAGTGGGATGATGGAGTATAGAGCAGCTACAGCTCTACCATATGTGTGAGAGGAGAGTAACAGGTGTGCACTGGAACTTCACATGCTTGTGTAAATGGGATGCCATGACCTTGCACCTCAAAAAGAATACACTGTCTGAGGCAAAACAAACCGCCAGAAGGCTTCATCCTCTTTGGTCTTATTCAGCAGGCTAATTGATCACTCCTTACAGGCTGGGCTTTGATCTACAGCTAGCCCTTTGAAGATCCTTGTCCTACACAAGATACAGATGCATATATTTCATGTTTCTCTCTATCATATAACTGTGCCCAGTGCAACACTGCCTTTATGAAACACTTAGCACATTCTAAAATATTTTATTTCTATAGAAGTGAAAGGAAACAAAAATGCCACCAATGCCAGTAATATGTCAAAATCAGATGGAAAACTCATAAACATTCTCATGAGTAAAGCTCATTAACTGCTTTTCCTTCAAATGGCTGTTTTTTCATGGGCTGGATGGGAAGTTACATAGAACAATAACATGTATTCCAGCCAAAACTGCAGATTTCCAGAAAATTTGGTCAATTTTTTTTTAAAGCATCTGCCCTGAATACTTAATTGGGTATCTAGGAAGGCCAAAAGGCTACCACTTTTAAACACTTCTGCATGCTTTGTTGTTCTTTAAATGGCATTCAAGGAAAAGCCAAAGAGGCAACCACTGACTCTGTGCAGCAATCATTCCTTCCCTCCTCAGTGGGAAACAGTACAAACTCTGGAACTAAAACTTTGTTCTATTTGAACATGAACTAGAATAAGGGAACCTTGAAAATCCATTACTAGTCCTCTTGACTGAAGCAGAATAAAAATAAGAGAGTTTGTGATCAAATCCTCTCCTATCCACAGTGTGCTCCCAGGGCAGATTCATTCTTTTAGGTTTGCTTACAAGCCAGCAGCATTCAGAGGTCTTCTTGGGCTGCAACAAACTCTGCACAATCCCCTCTAAGCCCCCAGTATAACACCTTGTTTTCCTTCTCTATCCAAGTGCTGACTGCATGTCTTCTCATTGTTCTTCTTGGCATTCCTCATTCATCACTCTTTCTGAAGGCTTTATGTTCACTTGGTCTCCCCCCACCTCTGCCTTCCTCATCCTGCACTCATAAAGCTTTTTTCTTCTGCAGTTCTCCACGCTCCGCTGCTGTCACGAAAGAGATGATCCCTCTTTCCCCTTGAGGATGCCAACTAATCCAGAAGGCAGTAGCCAGCCTCACACAAACAAGCAAGTGCCTTTCTCCTTTTAAGGACCTGCTACGCCCTTGCCAAGAGAACAGAACACACATTAACTGCGAATAAACAAAATAATGTAAATTCCACCACTCACCATGGAATTTATCTGGCTGAACTTTAGCCATCAAAGCTGACTGCCTCTTCTAAGTGAGGCACCTGAGCTTCCTCTGTAGTGAGCAGAGGGTGATAAGCCCTTTCAGGAAAAAAAAAAAAAAGACACTTTTGCATTACAACAGCTATGTAAGGTAGGTAGGATAACCGTGTTTCCCATCACCACAGCTCTTCAGTTAGATTTTATTTTCAGCGGATTTTAGCACCAGTCATATCACACGCTGCTGGTTGCAGAAGGGAGCTGTACAAAATATCAATTCCTACACAAGCCACCAGCAAGAGGTAAAGTGATAAAAGCAGCACAGTCTCTGTCATGTAGAATACAATACCAGACAAACATCTGCTGTAATGCTTATTCAAACTAAGAAACACCTTAATATTATTGTTACTGTGGTAACAACATCAGTTTATCAGTCTGATATATCCTTCACAAAAGCTTAACTGTCAAAGTGAAATCTGTGGTCACAGATGATCTTGTGCATGACACCACAAGGGCTAGCTTCCTTCAGCTTGCTTCGC